CATCGTGTAGCATAGCTCTCAACGAATGTAGTCCTGTAAATAAACGAATAAAGAAATTGTGTAATAAAATGCCTCTGGCGGGACTCAAACCTGCGACCTCTCGCTGTCAAGGCAAGCGTCATAACCAATTGACCACGGAGGCTTCATGGTTGAACAGATTCGAATACCACCAGATACACTCCATTACACAATTATGGGTACGGCTAGAAACCAATAGTTGCATATAATATGAATCAAGATAGCCGTTAAATATATATATATATATATATATACATATATATATATTTCAACCAGAATTCATCACAAATATATTTTAATTCCTAGATATTGATTTTAAGTGGAACTGTACTATAACAATCTCAGAGTCCTTGGCTCTAATCAGTGAATCAACATGGTTTTTGTCTCTCAATTTAACTGTGCACACCCCAACATCAGCCTTGAAAACAAACTTAATTTATAAAGCCACAGTCCATCATATAATTAGTGAGTGTACTTGCTGATTTAGGAATAAATCTATCCTTCAATGCATGGCAATGTTGGAAATCTAAACATACTAAAATTTCTATCATAAATTTTCTGTTTGTAATAGAATCCTATCAACATCAGCTTCACTTTGTGAGTTTTTATTACAACATATTAAATCACTATTACATTATTTAAATTACAAAAAAAAATACTGACAGGAACATTTTGATAAAAGAATATCATGTAAAAACTGATGAAAAATGAAACTGAACATTCTGAGGAAGAATGAAATTAAAATGTACTTGCAAACAAATGCAGATAAGAAATAGAATAGGAATTGCCATCACTGTAAATGGATTAAACATTCAATGAGGGTTTTCACTGATTTGTCAAGTGATGCAAGGAAGGTAAAAAATGGAGAAGCTATACTAATTTATGCTTCTGTTAAATGTAAAAGAAATTAATTTTTTTAGTCATTACCCTCGTCTCTCTGACGGACAGTTGAAGAGTATTGCAATAAAATGTGTGTGTGTGTGTGTGGGGGTGCGTGTGTACGTGTGTGTGTGTGTGTGAGAGGCTGTCTATGTGTCTGTATGTCCTTCCTGGTGCACAACTCAAAAACTACTGTACTGATTACTAGTACTTCAAATTTTCAGATGTTGACAATGTTACATGTATCTCAGTTCTCCTTAAATTAGGTTTGATTGGAATATGCAGATTTTAGAGTGTGTAAAATTTTGGCTGGCGGACTTGAAGAGTTCTGGCCCAATTGATGGCCTTGTCATGCAACAACTGCACTAGGCGTCATTTGGCTACGCCCAGCCGCTCAAGTGGATCAATCGTGGACCATTGTTTTTTCAGTACATAGATATGGCAAATCAGGGCGAAGGCTTGTGATTTTGGATTATCTTGCTTTCAATTGAATAATAACATAAACATTTATTAATTTAAATATTGAACATCATTATTGAAGTTCTGAGCTTAACACACACTGCAGTATATCATCAACAAGCGTTGAGATGGTGCACGATAATAGTTATCGCAATAAATATTAGTTGGTCAAAAGTTCAGGATGTAGCAGAATGATCACCAATTAAAAATGAATACTAATTGATAGGGGTCTCAAATTTCACACAATTTCATACATCTTAAGTCAGCAGATGACCACCATGCGTATCAAATAAAATCAAATGTTAAGAAAATTATTTAACCAGATTGCTAGTAAAGGTAAGAGAATAAGCCATGCATCGTAGCGTCATTGTGCTGAATTGCATATGGGTGTGGTCCGTGACCACTTAGCCGCCGTAAAGAGGCACTTATAGTAGCTTCATTTTCACATCGTTCCCATACAGCAGGAGCTGAAATGAAGCATAGCATTGGGGTAACCCTCCGACTCTTCCGAAAGATGCAATGGGTTCTTTAAAGTGCACAAGAGCCAAATGTGTACACAGGAACTCCACTGCAAGTCCTTATCCAAAAAGACATGGTTATACCAACCGAACCCTGGGTAAGGAGCAATGTGAATGTAAACATTAAAAACTTTAAATACTGATTATGATAAATAAATTTATTGAATTGCACTGAAAGTATTGACTAAAGCGTTCCCATAAGTACAATGTATGGTAACCTCCTGTTTTAGCTAGCGCAAGCCCAGAATGTGCCAAGCCAAATGAAAACCACATCAAGATGATAAATAATAATCAACATGCTTGATTCGACTGTCAGTCCTACTGTGCAACGCTTCCCATCAAACCTGGTTTCATGACTACATGTATGAACGTAATCTTTTACAATTGACTGTAGGCAATAGAATATAGTACACCCCCACATATGCATGTTGGTAAAAGAGTGAATTATAAACACATCCTAAGTGCAGATTGCATACAAATTATCAAATCCTCAAGCAGTGTAAACATATCATATTACCTAACACATAAGTGCACTTAGACTTTATGCGAAAAATTGCTGTTTGTGGAAGGACAGTGGCTAATAAAGAATATATCTACTAAATAATATCTAAATTTTGCAATGTCAGTCTTGTACAGTATATTTTGACCTTCTGAAGACACTAGAAATCCATTACAAAGATTTAAACATGCATAAAACACATTGTTTAAAATTGCACATTTCCTAAAATACACACCCCTGGTCAGTAAACTACAGCAGTTTACCCCTTTAGGAGTGAAGAAATTGCCACACTTTCCCACAACCTGTAGCCTCCAGTATCTCTG